GTATACATAGTTGTTAAATGACAATGTTGGTACTTTTCAATTTGAAGAGTTTCAATTTTGTATTCTATATTTTTTATTATATTATTTTGATCTAATTAAATAGCCCATTATTGTTTTTTAAATATGAACAGCACTTCTTCAACTTTATATCATCTCTTTTATCTGATATTTTTTAAATGTAAGTTTCTGGAACGTTGCAATTTCTGACTATCAATGATTGCATTAAAGTAAAGCATTTTTATCGGCAGTCAATTTAAGAAAAATTACTGTCTATAATTAATACAGTCAAATAATTAGTTTCTTTAAAAATAATCACAATAACTGTTTTACAAATATTATTTAAAATATTGCACTTAAATTATGTACTGACGTCATCACATCAACTAAAAATTATTCTAGTTGCAGCTTTAACTACATCAACCACATTTTTCAGCGTATTCTTATTGTTCTATTTCCCATTTTTTACAAGAAACCGGCAATTAATCATCCATGAACCTCTAAACTTGAGCCAACTTTATTCTTAAAAAGACAAAAATGCCTAGCGATTTTAAGCCCTTAAGATAAAACTTTACAATTTTAAGGGGGTCCAATGTTGTCCCAATTCATAATCGAATTAAGATTCACGTTCTCAAAACGCCATTTTTGGGTTTTCGACCCCTCATCGCATTCAGTAACATAAAGACGTTTATTACCCAGATCGCAGTCTAAACACCTTGGATTGCTCCCATGAACAAACCACTGATTTTCCTTTGAAGATTAATTATTTTTAATTACTTTTTTGATAAATATTATAAATAGAAACATACATTCATTTATTCGTGCAATTTTCTTAATGAACATTCAGATAATCAATTTTTCAATAGATGCTTTGCAGTTATAATATTTGTTATTTCTAATCTGAGAAAATAATGCTAACCAAACTATAGAAACGTACGTTTATACATAAATTGTTAACAATTTAACTTAATTTTAATTTTTGATACCTCGTTTGCAGACAATTAATCGTTTTTTTTGTCTTCATAAAATTTTTATTCAAGAAAACAAAAAGAAACTTACCACGTCATATTTCCAATACTGGTTTCCTTTCATTCCATGGCACGGATAGAGTACAATTTCAGCTCTGTCGTCAGGGTTTGAGACGTCCCAGCATAACGATCGTCCAGCAGGTCTGATGTCCTTGTGCCATGTCAACGTGAAGTTCTGTTCACCTTTTTTCTTTGTGTTTTTCACACACTCCTTCAAAACAATCTGCTGATCTCGCTGTTTCATGTAACTGTCTACACACAATTCCGGAGCTGCTATACTACGAATCTGAAAACAAAAACAATCACTGAACATTTTAAAGAAATTTTGTGACTAATGTAAGAAAATATTTACTTAATTAAAGCGGAAATGTAATAATGCTAATGTGTTTTTTCGGACATTACATAAATAGAAATAAAAACATTTCCTTTCCAAAATTTACTTAGTAAAACGAAAGAGTTACAATAGAGAACTATAAATATAAAAAATATATACTGTATGCTAATTTACCTCTCCAAAACCGAAATCGTCAGGTTCTACTGGAGGATACTTCAATGGTAAGTCGAAGGCAATATTTTCTATAAACCATTTAAATGGTTTACATTTTAATCTCTTTCTAAGAGCCTTTTGTTCCGTCAGATCTCCGGGATCTAAAGTTCTATAATTCGGTTTTCTCTTATATAAATATTCAGCATATTCATCCATCCAAACTTCAGCGACTCGCTTATAATTCTTAAAAGTAAAAATTAAGTATAAATACACCAAGAAGTAAATAATTAACGAAATAATTCTAATGTTTCATATCAGTTTAAATAAGAATATAAACATATAAGTACCTTTCCAACAAAATCGCCCCTTCCAGGATTAGGGAAGGGGGCAAACTTCCGGTAAATATGACCCACTCTCGAACAAGGAGCGTCCACCATTTGTCCTCCACATTGCCATATTTTAAAACTTAGTTCGTATTGTTCTCCTCCCCAAATATCAAGACCCTCATCATAGCCCCCCAAATCCCAAAAGAACTTTTGACTAATTGCAAACAACCCTCCTGCCATAACAGGAGACCTATGAATAAAATAAAACAAAATATATACGTAATTTCACTGTATTTTGGCGTAACTAATAAGTTAGAAACATTGCTTATATGTATGTTGGTTTATGTACAATTCTGAAGTATGAGTAACTTTGCTTTATACTTACTTAAAAGGTTCTGTAGGGTGTTCAAGATCTTCGGGTAGTAGAGGTAATCTTTTGTAATAAAATTCCCAGTCAAAAGCCCCCCTGGCACCCTCATCCTGAGCCCTGTATTCGAATGTTTCATATTGTACTACATCAATAAAAGGGCATACGCATGTCTTGTAATCTTCAGCAATAGGTTCTAAAATATAATCACAAAAGAAATGTTGCAGTTTAGCATTTGTTCACTGAATTTGTTAATTAAATAACATTAACAAAACATAGTAACTTTGATCGACAAACTTGCCTAATTGTAAGTGTTGCTGTTTGCTATAAAAGAGCACAATAGAAAATAAAATCAAATAAAAATTAAATTTAAAAATAATACTGTAACAAAAATTACTAGAATCGTTCTTAAAATTTGAAATAATTCCATTTTAATTGATTGATTAAATAAAATAATAGGAAATGTCAAACAGATAATATTGATCTCTTTTTAAGATTTAAGAAGAGAACCAATAAGTATTTATAATTAACTTATTCGTTGACTAGATTAATTAACCAGTATTAATGTATTCTTGAAGTGAATTAAGCATAATATGCCAACAGTAATTGGCTGTGATGTAAAAGCAACGGTATAATAAAAACAAAACTAAAGTCCGTTAAATTCTTGTTAGTCAAGGACAGAGAATTACTTTGAGCAACATTTCATTTCATATGAGACGTTTGAAACGAAAATAATCATTAATATATTTACAAGGCTTATCAATACAAAATAATTGTTACGCCAAAGATATTCATTTATCGTTAAAAGAGGATTAAAATAACGAAACATAGATAAAAGGTGACATACCTAAAAGTGGAGGCAACCAATTTACATTGGCCTCAGTGTGGGAATCGAGGAATATTAGAACTTCGGCAGAAGCTTTTTTTGCACCAGCTAATCTGGCTCTTATTAATCCCATCCGCTCAGGCAGGCGGACTACTTGGACCTTTGTCAGATTGGCAGATATGTAACTGTCCAGCTTTTTCTTAAGAAAATCTAACATAAAATTAAAAATAAACTTAATTTATTAACAAGAGTATAAAAATTTACAAATTCAAAAGCACGGTCCAATATATTAGGGACAAATAAGTGAAGTTAAACATTAAAACATTTGTAATCTCCGAAATCCCTATTTTTATGAAATCAAAAGATATTTTTTTTTTCAAAAAAAAAAAAAAATG